AGTGATAAGATCCTGCAGGTCGAGCTTGCCAAGGGTTGCGATAAGTGGTGCAGCACCATTGACGATATCAACAAGCTTTCCGATAGTGTCGGCGGTCAGAAGAGGCTTCAGGGCATCAAACAGACCCTTCAAGTCAAGCTGGCCAAGCTCCTGAATAATTGGCTGCAACTGCGTGAGAAGGTTCTGGAGGTCGAGCTTGCCAAGCGAGGCGACAAGAGGCGCGGCGCCAGAAATCAGAGACTGAGTTTGTTCCACGAAATCAGACGTGATGAGTTGCTCGACGTTGAACAGCAGAAGAACCAGTCCTTGAATGGTCTCAGGCGTAAGAAGAGGGGCGACAGTGTCGACGAGACCCTTGAGATCAATCTGGCCAATAGCCTCGAGGACGGGACCAAGCTGGTCAAACAACTTGGTCAGGTCGACTTTGCCGAGGCTGGCGAGGAGAGGCGCAGCACCATCAATGATGGAGATGATTTTTGTGATCTCCTCGGGCGCCAGAAGAGGCTTAACGGCCTCGAGGAGGCCGGCAAGGTCGAGGCCAGAGAGCTGCTTGATAAGAGGCTCGAGCTGCTTGATGAGATCTTGTAGGTCGAGCTGGCCGAGAGAGGCAATGAGAGGCTCGGCGCCGTCAACAATAGAAATGATCTTCTTGATCTCATCAGGCGCCAGGAGAGGCTTGACGGCCTCGAGGAGGCCAGCCAGGTCGAGACCAGAGAGCTGCTTGAGAAGAGGCTCAAGCTGATCAATAAGAGAGGCCAAATCAAGCTTACCGAGGCTAGCAATAAGCGGCTCAGCGCCGTCAATGATGGACTGGATCTTCTTGATCTCATCGGCAGTGAGTAGGGGCTTGACAGCTTCGAGCAGTCCGGCGAGGTCGATGCCAGAGAGTTGCTTGAGAAGGGGCTCAAGCTGATCAATGAGCGAGGCCAAATCAAGCTTGCCGAGGCCAGCAATGAGCGGCTCAGCTCCGTCGATGATGCTGATGATTTTGGTGATTTCGGAGCCAGAGAGCAGAGGCTTGAGAGCCTCGAAGAGGCCAGCGAGGTCAAGGCCGCCGATCTCCTTGAGGATGGGCTCGAGCTGCGTAATGAGACTAGCCAAATCAAGCTTGCCGAGCCCGGCAATAAGTGGCTCAGCTCCGTCGATGATGCTAATGATCTTGGTGATTTCGGAGCCCGCGAGCAGAGGCTTGAGAGCCTCGAAGAGGCCAGCGAGGTCAATACCACCAAGCTCCTTGAGCAGGGGCTCGAGCTGCGAAATGAGACTGGCCAAGTCGAGTTTGCCGAGCTCATTGATGATGGGCTCACCGGCGGTGACGATGTTGCGAATCTTTTCGGGAATGGGATCAGCGAGAGTCTTTCCGAGACCAATCAGACCGTCGTGGACGCCTGAGATGAACTCGGGAGTGAGAAGAGTGGTAACGGCTTGCAGGGTCTTGACCAAGTCGGTCAAGGGCTTCAGGATGGGATCGAAGATGCTGGCAAGACCGGCGGCAGGGTCGAGGAGACCGTCGAGGAGACCATTTTGGTTACCAAGAGGGGCGCTTGCACTTGAGGTTGAGGTTCCTGATTGTGCGTTGGTGGCATTTTGTCGACGGAACAAAGTGGAAATTCTGGGGTCAACGCGGTCGTGGTGTTCCTGTCTCTTGAGCAGAGCAGTCAACTCTGTCAGTGTGTCGGTGAGCTGACTACGGGGGACAAGAGCTAGGTTGTGCTTGGCGAGAATCTCGTCGAGGTTGTTGGATTGAAGGATCTCCTCAATTGTAGTCTCGGGGGGAGACTGGGTGCGAGGGCCAGCAGCGACAATGGCTACAGGGGCCACGGCTCCCACCAGGAGGGCAGTCCACCTCATGGCTGTGGTTGTATGGTGTTTGCCTCACCAGAAAGGAAGCAGTCTTGCTGGACTGGTGTGTTGGCTTCCCAGCTGGACAAGACAATTGGCGAAGATGAAGAGGTGTAAGAGAAGAGAGGAACCAGCAAGACGGAAAAAGAGACTAGGGCGAAGGAGAAGTAGATATGTAATGAGGACTGGAGCGGGTGGGTATCCGAGAATAGCAAGAGACAGGTCGAATCCGCACACAAAGCGCAGGAGAGGGAACGGTGGAGGAGGGCTTACAAGGCAAGGTAGGCGTGCGTCTGTGTGTTGACCGGGAGGGGGGTGGACGATGCCGCGATGTGGTGTGGGACGGCGTGGTAGTTGAAAGGAGCGGAGAAGACCAGACAGAGCCTCGGACCTGGAGCGCCATGGCTATGCAGTTGACAATGGCGAGCGACGGGGAGATGGGCAGAACAGGCAGAAGGCAGGCCAGGGCCAGGAAGAAGCCGAGAACTCTCTGGATCGGGGAGGCCTGGTACGAGGAAAAAGTGAGTTAGCTAGGACGGTGGAGATGGGGGGTGGGAGTGGGCGCGGAGACCGTGGGCAAATCCCCCAGGTTTCCCCAAGTTTACAGCCCATGACAGTTTTCTCTTACTGGTGATATTTTGACTCTGTGATAGGCCGTTGGCCAAGGCATGGACCAGACCAAGGAGCCGAGCAGCGCAGCAATAAGACGGACCAGATGTGGACTCGATGGAGACAAGCTGGGTCGTGCCTGAGGGGGTGTGGGCTTGAGAGCTAGCGCAGTGGAGAGTCATTCTTGTTAGCGTCGAAGTGTAAGCTGCACTGGGGTGGCGTCGAGTAGCTGAATTTGTGAGGAGTTGAGTAGCGTTGCGGTGGGAGAGCCGGGTCGCGAGGATGTTGGCGATGGTGGTGGTGGTGGTGGTGATGAAGGAGGGGAGGAGAATTTTGGTGTTGTTGGCAGGCAGTTGGCAGGCGGAGCTTCGTTTGCGGAAGTTGGCAGCTGGCAGCTGGCAACTGAATTGGTAGATGGACGACATCGTCTAGTTAGTAGTTACTAGCAGGTAGGTACGCAACACGGAATCGAATCTCCAACAATGGCGGCGACTCTTTACTCAATCTCCTACCTTGTTCCTGTTTTCCGTCAGCCCGCTTCCCATTTTGCACCACTCGCCCGCCGTTCCACGTAGTCAGGCTTGCAGTAGTGCGCCCAAGAACTCGATTTGTGTTACTAACTATGCCCATTCATCGACAACACCCACCCTCGTTCTGAGTAGCACTACCACAGCACCGATCAGCCACCGTACGCTGCCTCGGCACCTTGGGGCCATCAATTGCCCAATGTGGTCTTCACGGCGGTTTTTGGTCGTCGACAGCCGACCAAAAATGCTCGTGAAATCTGCAGCCGATTGCGTGTGATGGCTGCCAGTTGACAGACGGTGGTCGTCTCAGCAGGTGAATAAGCAAGCGAGGACTCTCCCCGTTTATGTTGATATCAAGACAATTCGTTTTTTCTGGTGTCATACAAGTCAATAATAATTGCAGTTGCATCTTCTTCAGTCTATGAATTCAATATGGCCGTCTTCTTCACTTATTCACATATCAAAAGTATCTCGATGCTTTGTTATCCCCCACTCGCGACCCCAGACAGTTCACGACCAAAGGCGGGGAAGGCAGAGCCCCAATGACAGCCACCGTATTATTGGTCTTATTTCCTTGCATTTTCCTGCTGCGCAGAGTTTTTCGTCTGCCGCAGCAACCCAATCCGTCATTCGGCCGCGGTGGAGAGAGCCAAAGGGCGTGCGGAGGCATGCCCAGCCCGCGCACGGTGCAGTACCAGTACCACCTTGTCCCCTCTCATCTTACCGGCCAGGGTCAAGGCATAAAATTGGCTCCTCTGTGAGTGGCAACCTATTACTGCAGACTTCATAATACCGGTACGGTGCAAACTGTAAATCACTCAATACTGCTAGGGTAGATTGTGTCAAGATTTTTTCCCTGTATTATCGGGCAACTACATATATTGTGGTAGTATTGATTAGAATGCGACTGGGCATCGTCGAAGAGAGAGGTCTGTAGGTCGTCAGGTCAATACAACATGAACATGATAATAGCAGCATGTAGTATTGCGGCTAATAAAGCTACTCGTATAGCCGTGTATCAGCAATAGCAACTCGATGACTATGACTATCGGGGCTCTCCCGTCGCTTGTATCCATCTCATTACCATGTCTCGCTTTTTGTGGGGATTGGGATGGATGCGCACTGCTTCCGGCATTCCCTGTGCAAGGTAGTCGAGATTTTTTCTCCTGCCGTAAATTATATAACTAGTTCAATAACGCCAGAGAGTGTGCGCATTTTGCGGCTCAAAACAGAGTCGCTGGGAGAGGAACAGACGACTGCCGGACGCAGCGACCCTTTCAGCTCGCCTGGCTAGTCCCTGGCAAGGCTAAAGCCAGCTTTGGTCAGTGGCTTGTCGCCACGAGACTCTCAACGCCACACTCTCTCTCCCTTTGGCTTTTTGGCGGCGGCGACTCCGCTAAGATTACAAGCTAACGGCGTCCACGACTCTTCATTATTTCCTGTATCGGATACTGTTAGTGGTGTTTTTTTTGTACCTCGTCTAGACCGGCCAAGGCTCGATGGTGGTAATTGAGCTGGCAGGGGGAATGTCAGTCAAGAACATGACTATAACTGCTGCTACTCACGTAGTTATGAGCTGGACACAGCCTCAACAGCTGGGCGACAAGTACCAAGTAAATCGGCTAGTTTTTGAAAATTATGCTTTCGGTGAGGCTCTGCTGCAAATCGACGTCCGTGAGCAAATGCGGCAACACCGCATAATGGTGGCATTGGCGAGTGGCGCCAACTTTAATCTGGCCATGACGTTTTGGTTCTAGAGCCCTAACTACACAATCATTTTTTTGCATCATTTTTTACGTTTCTTGTTTTTTTTTTTTTTTGCGGAAAGCTGGGGAAATAGTGCTTGCCAAGCTGTGGCACGGTCGCGTGTCGTTGGTGAGGCGTTCCAGGAACGAGCAATGACGCTTTTTTAATGTTAAAAATTCAGTCGCAGCCACAAGCGGCCGGTCCCAGTCTATAGTGCTAGAAGCAACTGGATAGAAGGCATCCTCAACTTCACCCAACAGCCGCAATCAATAAGAGGCAAGCCAAGCCAAACAAGATGCAGGGTGCAGTGGCTCTAACGTTGTCACCAATTATTGGATATGACTCTTTTGTCACTCAACCAGCACTTCAATTTGCTCTCTCTCCAATAAGAGGCCAGCCGGCGTGCTCAGGCACAGAGTTGGCCCGGCATGCCGCTTTTGTGGGCATTGGCTCTGGCGGGCCGGGGCTCTGATTGGACAGCATCAGGGTAGCCCACAATGAGCTCGGGCTGTTGACTCTCCACTGACTGAGACCGAGAAACAAGAACAACAAATTGTTCGACACTTGAAACAAAAATAGAAGGCATAGCACAACTAAGGGAGATTCAGGATTCAAGACGGTGCGCTTGCTTGGTCCTGTCTCGGAGATCGGTTGACGCAGGACCGACCAGCAACTCGCGATGCCTGCAGGGCTGATAATTAATTAGGTACCTCCTACCGGGCTTCAAGCGCCCCTCAACTCGTCCGCAAAAAGCTGGTACGAGCTGCAAGTTGGGCGTCGTTTGGCATCTTGGCAAGTAGATAGTCTCTCCGCTTTTGGCGTTTGACCACTACGGCCATCCACAAATGTCATCGTCGTTTTTCTCGCTTGCGAGATAGTTCACGACTTGTTTTTAGCGGGCGAATGCTAGCTTCCAGGCTAGTGGCCACTGGCCGCCGACACTCGTACGACATCGGCTGCTTGGTCCACGAGGGTTATTAATACTACCTACAGGTACCTAGTATGACTCGAGATCCCACCACCATGGTCGGGGGAAGACCAAAAAGAAGCGGTCCAATGTCATGGCCAAAAAACCCCCAGCAACCCAGCCCTTGCTGGTCCATAAATATTACTCGACCTTGCTGGCTCGAAGCCGGAGCCGCTCGCGGGTTTTGCTGGCTGATGATCCCAGCAAGGCAGGCCCAGCCTGTTTCGTTCCCCCACGCGGAGAAGGAGGTTCAAGGCTACTTGGCTGATGACTGGGGAAACTTGGCGAGCAAGCCACGACGCCAACCGCGGCAACCTACCTATTTATTTGGCAGATGATAGATGATGACGATATAAAAGTAGAACCAATGTCCACTCAACAAGAGTCAATCTCGGTTGTATGTAGCCTGCTTGCAGGGCCGCCCGGAGCCGCGAGAACCCGCGATCCCCCCCCCCCCCTAATCCCATTCAGCCCATGCTGTGCTCCATGCGGGGTAATGCTGGGCCTGGCAGTTGGCAGATCTTGAGATTTGCTGCCAAGCCCCAACGTGGCGGGTGCGCTGGTTGTACTGCACTGCTTTGCGAGAGTTTAGTGCACAAGTGGAGCGCAGAACGGTTCTTGCCCTTTGAGAGCTGTTTCGTCATAGCGATCGCCGTTGTCTTTCTTTCTTAGGTGAAGCATTTTTTTTCCTTTCAGATTTCCCTCGCAATTCTCTGTATTATATCGTCAACGACCGCCGGTTTGTCCGACTGTTAGGTACCTCATCTGTACTAGCCAGTTCTGGTCATGTCTCCAAGAAACCCAAGCAAGCGACGGTATTGGAGAGACACCCCCCCTTGCTACCCCTCCCATTTAGCGGCCCCAGGCCTCGGCTGCCCCAGACCCGCTGGGACGGTCGTTCCGCCACAACTGTCATCCACTAAAGAGCGCTGTATTTAATTTTTTCTCGCTGGCTCTCGGTGTCCACCCACACACCCGGGCACACACCTGTCGGGTCCTCCGCCACAGCCCCTCGACCACTGTAACCCCCCCCCCCCGCAAGCAGCATGGCAGCATGCAAACCACCTGTAGAACCTGCATAAGGGAACCCACGGCCCCCATGCCTTGCCCGGTCACCCCATCTTCGCTTTGGTCGTGCATCTCGCCCACTGCACCGCACTTCAGTCAGCTCGCCTGCGACCGCCAAGGCAATTTTTCTGCTCTCTGCTATTACCTTTCCCTGCCATTACAGCCCCTTGTGCTGTAATATATCCCCAGATTTACTTTTTTTTTTTTTTTTGCGCCCCTGCAATTGAACCTCCCCTGTGGGTTTCGCTGCCGACTTTACTTTTTAGTGAACCAGCACCCACCGTCTACCGTAGCACGATACGATACAGCTCTAGTGTCCGTCCACTACAGTAGGCGCGACCATCTCCCCCTCCCTCCTCAGCTTTGCTGCCTTTTGGCTCGCAGTCCCCATCTCTGCCTCTGCATCATCCCAATTCGCAAATTCCCCCGGCTTCAAATAACGCGGGTAACAGCGTCAATTCACCATGGCGTCCGCGTTCAGGGAAGAGCATCACGACTCTGATGTCGATTCGTACCACGCCACCACCCACCAGGCGACCACCGCTCGTGTATCGGGCGGGAATGGCAGCGGCAGCGGCAGCGGACGTGGCATTCACCACAACGGCCAGCAGCTAGACGGCGACGACCTGCCTCCTCTGGAAAACGCGTCGACCGCCGACACGGATGACCACATCATCAGCAAGAACAGCCCGCGCCGAGAGCTCACCCGAGAAAAGCTCGCCACGGCGGCCAGAGACGGAAGAGCATGGAGTGCTGCGCATATCAAGCACAAGTGGAAGTGGTATCTCCTGGGAACCATCATCTTCCTTGCTATTCTACTACCCATTGTGTCAGTCCAACCTTGACATCTCTTGGAAATAGCATGCTAACCTCGACAACAGCTTCAAAGTAGCGCTGCCCGCTATTGTCCAGCTCATTGTCAACCAGCAGACACTCCCCATCCGTAGCGGCTACCTCAATGTCGTTTCGCCCGACACCATCAAGCTCACCCTTGACAGCTCTTTCCATATCCCCCCCGGCCTCAAGGCAAAGACCAACGACTTTGTCCTGCAGCTCTACGATAAGAGCGCGCCTGTGTTCTCCCCCTTCTTGTCCGTCGAGGTGGCCCCTCTAGTGCTCGATGGCGGCAACACCAACTTTAGCATCATTGACCAGACCCAAAAGATCACCAACGTGGAGTCCCTGACGTCGTGGTTCAGCGGGTTCTATGATGCGCCGGGCGAGTACGACCTGAGCGTCCGTGGCACCGATGCTGTCATTTCTCTCGGCGCGCTCAAGTCGCAGCCGCGCCTGGACAAGACCATTAAGCTGCAGGGCCTAAACAAGCTCCAAGGCCTCGAGATGAAGAAGCTCGTGTTTCTCTTCCCTACCCAGAACGGTATCAACCTCAGGGGCAGTCTCATGCTTCCTAATCTCAGCCCGCTCGCTCTGTCTTTCGGAGATATTACACTTAAAATTGCATCAGGCGACCTGAACTTGGGTCAACTCAGTCTAGCCGGTATTACTATCCAGCCGGGCAACCAAACGCAGTCGTTTGAGGGTTTCCTTGACCTCAACGTCATTCTCGGAAACCTCAGCGGCTTCCTCAGCAGCCAATCGGTGGCTCTTGGCCAGGGTGTCTTGCAGCTCAACGCCACGGCCACCAGCGTCGTCGTTGATGGCCAGCACATTACCTTTGTCGAGGAGATTCTAGGCAAGCGCCCCCTTACCGTCAACATTTCCGTCGTCACTCTGCTGAGCGACTTGCTCAGCGGCCTGCTCAAGGGAGGCGGTGCCATTACCGGCGACGGCCCGAGCAATGGTACCGATTTCATCAACGCCCTGTCAGGCGTCTTTGCCAACCAGACGCTGCTCGGCAGCATTGCCGGTCACTGGACCAAGCAAAAGTCGCGCAGTATTGGGGACGGTGGCTTGGAGTCACGCTCCCTGTTGGGCGACAACGCTATGTGGAACATGGTCAAGCTTGGACTCAAGCTCAAGGCTATGCAAAAGAAGTAACAAGTCTTTCCGTCTGTTGATGGACGACTTGGCATTTTTCGATGTTGTCAAATAACCGTGCTATTTGTTCTTGTTTACCTTTTTTTTTTTTTTCATAAAAGGGCCTCTATTGTTTATACCTAGTCTAATGGCCATGCAGGAAGATATCAGTATAGTTCGCATATCTTAATGATGATGAATTTACGCATCTTTCAACTGCGACAACTTTGTCTTCCATTTGCGCTGTTCCTGACTTGTGTACCATACCATGTCTCGGCCTGTTTATTGTTCTCCTTTGGTCCGCTTACAGTCCGAGACAAGTAGATGTCCACCAGGCAGCGCCTTCGCATATTCGTAGCAGCACGATTCATGTTGTGTGCCACCCAGCATCGGTCGGTCCCTTGTCATGGCAAGCCTCCACGTGAAGCCGAGTGGTAGCAAGCCTCGCAAGGGGACTGGCGCAGACGAAAGCAAGCCCAGTGGCTTGTTAGGCTGCAGACAGATTCCTCAGTAGCCGTTGGCTCGCTTTTGCTTTTTCTTCTTGCCCTTCTAGTTCGTTACCAGACACAGCTCGCCTAACTAACTACTTGACGTCGAGCTATTTCGGGAACAGTCCTTCAGTCAGCCCGCTCAGGCGTTGTCGTGCCCTCGCGCTGGGCATCAACGCCTTGGCGAGTGTGAAACTGAGGCTTGGATGCGCGGAGATTAAAAAGTTCTCTGGACATGGCGAATGATGCGAGTACACACAACAATGGTCATTCTATTCTTGCTCTTGTTCCCCGCAGCGCGCAAGAATTGATCAAACGAGTCGAGATGCAGCAGTACGCGAATGAGTTAGCTGGGCTGGGCTAGAGGGGGGGGGGTGCATCAAGCCACGTTGGCTAACAAAGGAGCTATTGGGAACGGATCGACCGCCTCTCCATGCCTCTTGGGGAAGTGTTGCCGTCTGCCCCCCCCTTGAATATCTTTCTGTCGGAATCCACGGGCATATTGGCAATTTGCGTTATGCTCCCACCCAGATCGGCCAATATAACGCCTTTGATCAGGAAAAGATGGGCGAATGGCGCCCACTTATGCCATGATCATCCTACAACAACCAATTCTTCTAGTGGGAAAAAAAGAGCCGCGTCCAACACGTCGAAATGGCGGTAACAACTTGTCCTGGATAACAACGCCGATGCAGGCCAGTCGGTCACTTTTGTTCGTTGTCCTGGCGCGCCGCAAACTAGACTTTTTCGGAGCAATACCCCGGTAGCGGATGACTGGATGACCCGGTTGTGCATCATGATCCATCACGATTCATTACCAGAGTGAAGAGGGCGACAAACCAAGCAACAAAAGAAGACTGGTTGTTTGTGGTTCTGTGTTGGAACCCTCGGCTGCGCACCATCTGATGGCCTGTTTGGCATGTGGTGCATATCTCATCCATCTCGTTCCATGGTTATGTTGATTGTTTTCCTTCTTTCCCACAAATCGGCATGCATAACAAGGCAGCCCGGCATCAAACCAACCCGAGTTTACGAGCCGCTGCGCACAACCTATTTTCGATCATGCTCGTTTTGCGCCCCCTCCCCCCCGGATTATGCGATATCTTATCGGAGCCAAAGAGTAAACAATCAACCAATAACCAAACACCAATATCCATCCGTTTCCGACATCTTCCTCACCCCCAGCGCTGCCAACCACCCCAGCTCAACACCCCCTGGTCAAGCCCCATGGGGCCCCGCGGGGTAATTTCAATCAAAAGAACAGCCTCTTTGCGGGGCACACAACAACCACCCCCCCCCCTGCAAAAAAAGAGCCTCATTGTCCAAGGCATTTCCACAGCGGAACCACTTTGAGCCTCAGAATCTGGGAAAACGGGCGGATGCGGCGATGCATAGATGTGCCGCCGCTCCGTCTGGTCTTGCGATGGCCTCGTGGCTTGTCCCCCTTGGTTGGGAACCGTCTGAGCTTTCGTTGTCATGCAGGTTTCTTCGACGCGATAATCGATCCTTTGGAACCCCTCGTGTTTGAAACCAGGCATATTCGATTTCTTTTTAAATCCAACGCTGTTGCACAACATCAACGGCGGCGGCGCCGGTAGATTTGATGCAACGGAGAAATACATCACCAACAGACCCCCCCCCCCCGCCGTCCCATCGTATCGTCGCACTTCCTGCCAAACGCCTCATTTCCAGCCTAACAGGCTTCCCCTCACAAGCCAATACGTCCTGCCTCGGCCAGCGCCGTGGGCGAGATGCCGGCCCCTCCCAAAAGCCTGAAAGCCCCCCAAGCCACGCGGAATTAGTACAACACTCCCCCCCACCCTTTTCTCATATTCGATGTCGAGCACTGGCCTAGAAGGAGGCTCTGGGTGGTCGGTCCTGTTGTCGCCTATGTCCCCCGGCTATACGTGAAGAATTTGGAGAAGTTGGTCTTTCTTGGCTGTCGACTGCCGGGCGCAGTGTGCAAGTCCCAAGTTGGGCGCAAACCAAACGGCTTTATGAGTGCATGTTGATGATAAAACTTGCCCAGATTCAAAGATGATGGTCGTGCCAAGTGCCGAATGGATAAGCGAGCCCCGTTTCCCCAGGAATCATCGCGCAAATGCTTGGGTCCTATCGCGGTCATCAATGTCTGTCATGCTTTCTCTACCTGCCCGTTGGTTCTTGTTTTGTTCCGCCTCCTCCCCCATGTTTTTGGTTCCCACCGCCCGCCGCCGCATGTCGCCATCTTGCTTCTTCCCCGCAGTCAACAATGCGTGATTCTACTCTAACGTATTTCTGAGCAAGGTTTGGACGTACATGACATGGGAGGGGGGGGAGGGCGTGGCAGCGAGAAAACTAGGCTTTCGGAGACTTGGAAAGAGGGGAAACGTGCACCAGGCCGAGGCTCTTTTGGTGGAGTTTTCTTTTTGTGGAGCATCAATGTGGTTATATAAGATGGCAGCGTAGCTAATACAGCTTATAGAGGAATAATAGAAAGTAAAGATAATAGGGAAAATCAGCCTTCTATTAGATAAAGCTATAAAGGATAACTAGTTAATTTATATATCCTATTTCCTAGCCTTAGGCTATATAATTTAAGTTATAAGATAATATTATATTTTAAAATACCTAAGGTTATTATTTATCTATACTTATTATTAGTATAAATAAGATAAACTTTTTTATTAAGGTAATACTCTATATAATATACCCTTTAATTATTAAGTATAAGTTAATATAAAATAAAAGAAATAATTATATATAAAAAGTATAATAAAAAGTAACTATTTATATAAAAAGGTACTTTATAAAGGGAATAGAATAGTATATTTATACTTTTTTTTATTTTTTATAAAGAATATATTAATATACTACTTAAGTATATATTTTATAGTATAAGTAGTAGTTTAATATAAGAATAGATAGATAATAGAATTACTATTCTTTTTAATAAGTAATTTAAAATATTTTTTATTTTAATTAATAGGCTAGTTAATATTTTAAAATATAAAAAGCTACTCTTTACTATATATTATTCCTATATTCTTTATCTTTTATTTATTTCTTTTTAGCTACCCTTTTTCTTATTTATTAGAAGTAATAATAGTTCTTTATTACCCTTTTATTCTTTTTCTTTTATTATTATTAGTTATATTAAATTTTTAATAATAATTTCTTTATATATTAGCTTTATAGCTATTAACTCCCCCTCCTTTATTACTACTAAGGCTTTTACCTTTACTATTACTAATAAAAAGTCCTTTAAAGAGGTAATTATATCTTTAGATACCTAAGAAAAGTCCTTTAAAGAGGTAAATATTAAAAAGCCTTCCTTAAAAGCCCCTATACTCCTTACTAAGTAAAAAAAGCCCTCTATAAAGGTATATAAGTTATATATTAACTTATATAAAGAAGTATAAGCCTATAATAGTATTATATATCCCTTTTAATATAGCTACTACTAGATTAGTATAGCTATAACTACTCTAGTTAATAAGCTAAAGCCTTAGACCCTTATAAGCCTAGTCTTACTATTAGTAATATATATACCTACCCCTATTAAGGAGGTTAATAATAAGGATATTAATAATAATAATAATAATAATAATAAAGGTATTAGTATAGTTATATTAGTTAAAAAGGAGGTTAAAGTTAAAAATAAAGATAAAGAAGAGGAAGAGGAGAAAAAGGTATTTATTATACTATACTATCTTTACTATAATACTTCTACTACTCCTATTAAGATAACTCTTATAAGTTATATAACTTAGTTATAGTTAATACCTTTATTAATATATACTATAAGTACTTACTTATTTACTTAAGTTAACTAAAGCTAATTAATACTTTCTTAACCTTAAACCCTAGTAAAGTAGCTAATAGAGGCTAATCTTAAGCTTTACTAAGTAAACCTTTACCTAGAATATACTTAATCTATACTTTTTAGTAAAAGGGATAATATATATTATAACTTTATACTAATTAAGAAAATAGTATATTTATAAAAGTATAAAGGTTATACTTATTATAACTATAAATATAAGCTATACCTAGCTATAATAATCCTCTTTACTTAGTATTTAATAATAATATATAAGGATAGCCTTAAGTCTATAAGTTATTTATTATTTACTTTTATTACCCTTTAGTAATACTTACTAATACTCTACTCTCTCTTCTAGGATAAGGTCTTATATTATATAGTATTATATACTATTTTTAAAATATTAAAGAAAGAGGATAATATATTTAATACTACTACTACTAATATAGTATTAGGTAAGGAAGCTCTCCTTAAGTAAAAGACCTAGGCTTTATATTACCTTAAGATATTTATTAATAAAGTTATATAGTAAAGCTATTAAAAATTAATATATATATTATAATAATTAAATAGAATATTACTTATTTTTAGGTTTTTTAAAGGGTTAAAGATTAAATAATACCTTTTTACCTATATTATACTCTATATTCTATATTAGAATAATTATATTACTCTTTTTAACTATATCTAAAAGCTTTCTTAGATTAATAAGATATTTAAACTCTAAA